CAGGTTAAGAATGCAGTCTCGTAGTTCGTGACTTGATAGGTGGTTTCCACCCTTCAAGTCCTGCTTCCATGGGCTTCTTTTAATTTCTGTTAGTTTCCAGGGTGCTCCCTAGATGCAAGAATGGTGAAACTCCATCTAAAATACTCTGGGCATGTTGTCAGGAAGCCAGTCCATGAAAGAAGACATCATATTGAGGAAAAATGGAGGGTCAGCAAAAAAAAAGGAAGACCTTCAACGAGGTGGATCGGCAGTCATTGCAACAATGGGCTTGAGCATTGTGGAGACTGTGGTGCTGGTGCAGGGGAGGGTAAAGTTATGATCAGTTCGTAGAACAATGATCACCTTGATAGCACCTAACAATATAAGAGCAAGGCCCAAGGAAGACCTTGCCCCAGAGACTGATCTTAAAACCCCACGTAGGAAGGAGATGACTATCCCAGCCTGGATGCCAGGGAAGGCGATGAGTCATCAGCGAGGACTTGACCTACCCATAGAGAGATACTGCTGCAGATTTTCCCAAGGCTGCAGATTTTCCCCAAGGCCTGGTGGCCTCTCTGGGAATGTAACTGTCAAGAATCCCTCTTTGCTGAACAACCCAAATTAGATCCCTAGAAGGAAGCTGCCTCAACTTTGTGGTTCAACAGCATAGACCCTGGTCTTGAGAAATGCAGAGAAATGTGGCCTTTTTATCTGTAGGGTCAGAGCTAGATAGAGTGATGCCAAAAACAGTTAAGTCCCAGAAATCATGGCTCATATTAAGAAAGGTAGATTAGACGTCATAACACCTTCTCATTTTAGTTGGAATTTTGTGTTGTATTCATTTCTTCATTCATTTCATTCATTCATTCATTTAGCAAGCATTTGTTGGCATCCCAATTATGAGCTAGGCACTACCCTAGGCATTGGAGATCTCCACTTGGGGAGACAAACTCAGCTTGCCTTCATGGGGCTTAGGCAACTGGAATACTGCATATTAGACCCGTATTACTTCATCTCCAATTAACCCCTTGATGAATCATGTACTATTAGCATTTATAATTTTAAACACCAGACGACAACAGAAATCTTAAACCCACAGCTGTTGAGTAGATTCTGACTCATCGTGACTGTGTAAGAAAAAGTAGAACTGCTCCATCGGATGTCTGAGGCTCTAAATCATGGAGTAGCTGGTGGATTTGAACTGCTGACGTTTGATGAGCAGCCCCGCACATTACCCACAGAGCCATCAAGGCATTAATGTTAGTAATAGCCCAAAACAAAGCAAGAACCCATCCCTATTGAATCAATTTGGACACTATGTGGGTAGGATGGGGTAAAAATGCTCCATAGCCTTTCCAAGAGAGCTCTGGTGGCGTAGTGGTAAGGAACTGTGCTGCCAACCTCCCAGCCCAAAGGTGTGCGCTTCAAACCCACCAGCTGCTTCGCAGTGAAAGATGCACAGTCTCCTTTCATACAATTTACTCCTCTTACTGGAGGGTCAGCTTTGAGTCGGTTCCGACTCCAGCAACAACATAGGCTTTCTGAGGTCGCAGTTTTTACAGAAGCAGACTGTCATTCCTCTGCCCCCACCCCCCTGGCTGGTGAGCTCAAACCACAGACCTCTTGGTGAGCAGCTGAGCACTTAACCAGAGTGTCACCAGGACTCCTTAATGACAGTAATAGACACGTCTGCTCTCATTTCACTTTCTCAGCCGTTTTCTCAAATGAGGGAATGAAAGCTTCAGACTGACTTGTCCAGGGTCACACCATCAGTGATGGGGTCTGAGCTCAGTCCCAGTTCGGGTTCTGAAGCCCACGTTCTTGGCCATCATATATATCATACTGCTTCCTGCAGTGTGCCCTAGCATTTCAGGTCAATTAGAAGAAAAAGGTGAGATGCAAAATTGTATTTACTTTAAAGATTGAGTGAGTACAGCTTCCCATTTTTGCCCTTTGAGCCATTTGGAGCATCTTGTAGAACTTAGTGGTAGAGATTATTTGCTCTCCACGAAGAAATAGTTTTGTCTGTTTTTTCTCACAATGAGCTTCTTCTCGAACCACTGCTTCTGGATTGGCCAGCAGCTTTCTGGGGAAGAAAGTGGAGGTTTTCAGAAGGCATTCAGGAATTGTCTCCATTGGTCCATTCGATTCCCCTCCCTCTCTTGGTCCTGTTTGCTTGTAATGTGCATTATGTTGTAAATGTACCTGAAATCCCTTTTGAAAAGGGTTAGAAATCCGTTTCCTTTTTAAGTGCCTGGACCTTGACCTTTTTGTCTGGAGCCTTTACAGGGGAGCTTGGGTACCTGGGTGCCAGGTGGCTGCCTGCTCCTGGTGCAGGGGATGTTTTTGCTGATCTGTAGGAGGACAAAAAGGTGAAGTAGTAATGCTTTGGAGCCATGATAGTGCAGTAGTCGAAGAACCCACTCACGTCTGCATGGGAGAAGAGAGCTGGTCACCTTCTCCTGTATGGATTCCAGCCTTGTAAAGTCACTAGGGCTGTTTTGCTTTATCACCTAGAGTTGGAATTGACTTGAAGACATCTAATAACAACAGTGATTTTTAACCAAGTTAAATTTAATTTAAAAAATTCTTGCATAATCAGAGCTAGTCTTCTTGCCTTTTTAAAAGAAAAGTATTACAGTACGCTTTGTTTTAGGAAATGGTGATCATAATCAAGGGTGATATGGTGATTGTGTATAATTGTTATTTCTTTTTTTTTTCTATAATTATATTTTATTAATTTTCATAAACATTTACAGAGATTTTGGGCTTCCACTCATTCATTGTTGCACTATTCTCTCTACCCTCCTCCCAGTTTGTTCTTGTCCAAATGCCACAGTGCTTGTCAAAGCCAGTTCTGATTAATCTTCTTTGTCAGTGTATCCTTTGCCATTCCCTATCACTCCTCCCTGAGAGAGACTTCACCCTGAGTCATAAGGAAAAGGGGACGGCGTATTCTCTTAGCTACTTCCTGCTGAAAAGGGACGCTGTGGGTTTCAGGGTGAAGATCTTCTCTCACTACTCTAAAGGGCCCCTTTGGCAGTAGGAAACACATAGACTATTATGGAGATTGATTTTGGAATTCAGATGCACTCTTATTGATTGTGCTTGGCTGTACATGTACATATCCTTCAAGATGTATCATGGGGGTGTTGCAACCTAGAAGACACAAATTTGACTAACAAGTTATAAGTACATGAGTCCAAAAATTATGGAAAAGTAAAAGAAAAGATTCTTTCATTGTTTTACAAACACTCCCCCAGGTCCCCTCCACCATGCAGCCCTCGCTCTAGTCTCCTGTGATGACAGAAATACCCAGTTACATCTCTCTTTTAGACGGTTCTCTCCCTCCTCTGTTTCAGTGCAGTATACATTATTGAACCCATCTTACTCATTCTCTCCCCAACCCCAAGGACAGTCCCATTCTACAACAGTGGCATCATGTAATATTTGTCCTTTTGTGACTGGGATATTTCACTCAGCATAATGTTCTCCAGAGTCAACCATTTTGAATAATATTGCATAAGTTCCTTGTTTTTTAATGCAGCATAGTATTCCATTGTGCGAATATACCACAGCTTCTCTAGCCATTCGTTTGTTGATGGGCACTTAGGTTGTTTCCAACTCCTTGCTATTGTGAACAAAGCTGCAATAAACATGGGTGTACATATATCTGCTTGGATGTCAGCTATGGTCTCTTCAGGGTATTATAATTGTTATTTCTACATTCTTTTGTGGCAAAAAACAAAGAAACCTGGCAGCGGTGCCCCCATTTTTGTTGTGCCTTTACTAGCCACAAATTGAGCAACCACTGATTCAGGTCATCAGTTTTCAAGCTTCTTAAAAAAAACAAAACACAAAGCCAGTGTCATTCAGCTGATTCATGGTAACTGTATAGGACAGTTCTCCATGTTGTTCTTGTTGTTGTTATGTGACATCGAGTCACTTGCGACTCACAGCGACCCTATGTACAACAGCCTTAAACTCTGCTCTGTCCTGTGCCAATCTCACTGTCTCTGACACTCCCATCCCGATTACCCCAGTCACTGAATCAATCCACCTCATAGAGGGCCTTCCCCTCCTGCGCCTGCCCTCCATTCTCCCAAGCATGATTCCAAATCTGCAAATCATTATGGAAGGAGATTACTCCCACTTCTTTCTAGTGAGGAGATTGGAGTATTCTAACTGCTGTCTTTGTTTCACCTTAACCATCTTGCCACTAGGACTTCTTAAGCAATCCTTAACTCACTCACTCATTATCATGGAGTCTGAACCAACTGATAGTTCACCTTCCATTGGGTTTCAGAGGCTGTGATTTGACAGGAGGAGATTGCTCATCTTCTGTGGGTGTCTTTGAATCAGCAAAGATATGACGGTGTTTGGGTTAGGAGCGCAACTTCCCATGGGCTACCGTAGCTACTATCCTTCGTGTGTGACTCAGAGATCTTCTGAACAGCATATCTGAATTGTACCTTATCCTGCATGGTCCTCGTGATCACTGCAGTCACCGTGTCGGTGCATCTTGTTGAGGATCTGCCTCTCTTGCTCTTATGTTCCACCTTTCCTAGCATAGTGTCTCTTCCCCAGGCTTGGCCCCTCATGACAGCATATCCAAAATATGTGGGATGGAGTTATACCACCTTTGCCTCCAAGGAGCATCTTGGTGGCACATCCTCTGTGACAAACTTTTTTGTTCTTTTAAGTCCATGGGCCATTCCATATTCATCACCAACACCTGAGTTCAAAGGTATTGATTATTCTTCAGCCATATTCACTAATTTTCCAACTTTCAGATGATGCATGAGAACCAGTTGAAAAGACCATGGCTTGGATCCAGGCACACATTAGTGTTTAAACTGACACCATTGCTCTTTAGCACCTTGTAGAGGTCTTAACAGCATATTTCCCCAATGTTATGAAAATTGGCTATTTCCTCTCTTTCTCTCTGTACTGGTTCCTCCTTTCCCTTTTTACTTTCATTAACCCCCATCTGACGGTTTCTCTTCTCCTTCTTTCCATAGACACGAATGCAGAGTCTGCACCCAGATCCCAAAGCCCAGTACACAAGTGTCTATGGAGCCCTGAAGAAAATTGTACGGACTGAAGGCTTCTGGAGGCCGCTGCGAGGCATCAACGTGATGGTGATGGGTGCGGGGCCCGCCCACGCCATGTATTTTGCCAGCTATGAGAATGTGAAAAGGACTTTAAATGATGTGTTCCACCAACGAGGAAACAGCCACATAGCCAATGGTATTTTGAAAGCATTTGTCTGGAGTTAGAAAGCTTTCTTCTCAACAGACCCTTCCTCAGGGCCTTCTTCCCTGTGGCCCAGCAGCCTAACGCCTCGTCTTCGGCTTGCTTATGAATAAAGAACTCTAGCGTTGTGCGTGCGTGCCCACCCAGATACACACGCACACATGCACACTCTTTTTTTTCCCCATTCCCCTCTTTCACTCTCTGAAATTGGGGGAAATTGGTGACCGAGGTATTTCCGTTTTTCATTGTTGTAGGGGTTTTCTTTTCTTCTTAAACCCCAAAAACATTCAAAAGCAATTAATGATGAGACATACCTTGAATAGAAACAAAACTTTTGAATGCTGGATTCAGGAAAAAAAAAGTTATCTGGACAACTTCTCTGAGACTATTTAAAAACTGATACAACAGGTCTCTACAGCGTCAAGATCTAACTAAGCTTTAAAAGGTCAAGAAGCTTTTTGGCTGACAAAAGGATTTGCTCCAGCACAGACGACCTGTCCCACCTTAAGCTTCTGGGAATTTGGGGTTTTACTCTGGTCCTCTTCCCTTCTGTTTGTCTGAGTTGCATCTCTCTGCGAGCAGGGGCTGACATGGTTGTGTTGTGAGGCAGAGATGGGTGGTGGGGCTGTGAGTGCACACAGCACTTAACATAAGGCATAAGCTTTGCTGGGCCAGGCAGAGCGTTATTTTCTGCCCTTGGGTGGGTTTGGCTCTCGTGTTCTTTTGTCTGGGTATGGAATGGGATTATAGATAGGAGCAAACGGCATTTGTCTTGACAATGTCAGTTCCCCCGCCCCTTTTATTTAAAGAAGAGAGTGGTATTTGTGGCCAGTAACAACTTTACTCCCTTCTCTTTTGGTTCATCTGGAGAGAAAACAAACAAACAAAAAAATACCCCTTTCAGTGGCAAAGTGTGGTGGTAGGAAATGCACCTGGCTGGTTTGTCAGTGTTTAGTTTGGCCATTTGTTCAGTTTAGGGAGGTTCACACTATCAGCCATGTTCGGATACTACCGGCAAGTTTGAGTCATATTTTGGGGAGTGGGGAGGATCTCCTTTTTGGTAAGACTGCTTTATGGAATGGTTTAATCTTGGTGGCTGAACCCCTCCAGCGGGGTTTGAGAAAACCCAGTTTCTACCTGCAACACCTACCGGCACCTTTCAGATGTGTGCTGTCGTTGGTTCAGACCTTTCTTTGGAGTAATTGTAAGTGTGTGTGGGTGGGAGGGGCCACACACACACGTGTTCTGAAGCTTTACCCTGTCCAGCCCTCCTGATCCTCCCCTCTTTCAGGTGGTCATTTTAGTCACTTGGCAGTGTCACTACAGACAGAGGCATCCCAAAACCAAAAATAAAATCTCAGGGCTGCTTCGGGCTCATAAAGGTTCATGATTGTCAAAGCCAGGCCAGATGAAACCCCCAACTAGGGTCAACCATCTCCTCTGGAAATCTGCTGTATGCTGGTCTTTCCGACTGCCTGTTTTCTGAAAACTTACTTGCATTTTTACTAAGAAAATTCTCTTAAGAGGTTTTCCATTCAATTTCCCGTCGGCTTTGTACTTGATGCTAGCTAGCCCTTGGCTTGTCCCAGTGTAAAGAGCAGGGTGAGTAGCAAGGACAAGGGAAGAGAAGGAGTTGGAGTCTGGATAATAGACAAAGCCACAAAAGGAATTTTCCTGCTGAAAAACTTAAGTGAATCTAGCTGTTGCCTGGAGTTAAGTAATAGAAAGAAAATGAGGGTCATGCAAATTGAGAAGTAAGTAGCCGTGTCTCTATTAACATGCCGCATTTGGGCCTGGTGTTTGCATTATCATTTGGGAGTCAGTGTTCATCTGGGTGGAGGTGGTAGCCAATGTTGCTTCATAGAAAGCCAAGTCCAGGGTTCCAGGAACTACCTCCAAACATTCAGTCGCAGAGGGTAATTTTACTGAGTTTGTTTTGCAGGGATAGCTGGGAGTATGGCCACCCTGCTCCACGATGCAGTAATGAATCCAGCAGAAGGTAATGTTTCATGGTCCCAGGGAGGGGCAGTAGGGATGCGTGTAGGGGCAGGACTAAAGGTGGCAGGAAGGGGATTCCTGGACTGACCCCAGTTGGAGAAGCCAGAGAACTCTTGATTAGTTATGAAGGCCTCAAGTAGGGACCTGAGCATTCAGGTAGATAGTTTTCCTGTTCTCCAAAACAGTATTATGCAGCCTGAGGCTTTTTTAGGCCAGAGGCTTCAGCATCACCTGAGAGCTTATTAGAAATGCATGTTCTCATGCCTGACCCCATACCAACTCTTGGAGGGTGCCAGACACACACACACACACACTCTGCCACCCTTAGGGCTTGTGTAATTTGATTTTTTTTGAAAAGAAATTAGTAGTTGTTGAGAATATACACATCAGATCAATATTCCATTCACTATTTATAAAAACGTAAACTTCTTACTGTGGAAAACTCAGGCATATACAAAATACAGAGACAATAGTGTTAGGACAAGTCAACATTTTTGGCATATTCTTTTTCTATATTATCATATTATCTTCTCTTTCTTTAAATTTCTGGATCATCATAAATTAGAAAATGCCAGCTGTGGAGACCTGAGTTTGACATGTCTGTAGCCAACATGGGTCTTGAGTAGGAGATTCTTGTGAGCTACACTGGGCATGTTTTAAGCTGGGTTATTCTCTATCTAGTGAGATGTGGGACTTTCTCCATTTTCCCCTATCATCTGAAAAGGGTATCCCTTGCCAAAAGGGACAGTTGGAGATAAGCAGTTTAAGCATTTTAAGTCTTGCCTTTTAAGATGTATTTTTTAAAAATCTTACCTGTTTTTATCTTTAATAAAAGACTTTTTTTGATAGGAGGGAAAAAGAATCTGTTTTTATCTTATAAAAAAAATATATCTGCTCTCAGCTGCCTCCCCACATCCCAGCAGTCAAAAGATATGTTCTGTCCTTCAGGGATGGCCTACTTGAGTCCCTTTCTCTGTGGGGCTGGGTTTTTACCAGGATGTTTAGGTGAAGAAAGGTGTTTGTTTCACTGTAATTCCCCTCTCTGTGGGAAAGATATGCAGGGCAGAGTCACACTTTTTTTTTTTAAACTTTTTATTGAGAAAGTGGTGTGCTCAGAGAGCCCGAGTTCTATTTTACCTTACACTCACCATCTTCATGAAGACATGTAATGCCCTTACATAGACTTGCCTGTCTTCAGGGTGTATCCTGTAATAGGTGGTCAAGAGTGTCCTTTGAGGCTAGGGAAGAGTATCCTAAAAAAATAAAACAAGTAGAGTCATTCTTAGGTAAGCAGGGAAAAACCCTGTAGGGAGGAGTTCAGTGAAAAACTTAAATTCTCCAAAGAGATGCATATTATATATCTTGAGCTTTTGAAATGTTCATACAGAGACCTGGTGGATGGCCAGTTAGCCTGTGATTTTATTTTTTTTTAAAGGGATATATCATTGCAAAGAGGACTACAGAGGGGATGAGGAAGTAGGTGCTTGTGCAAAAATGAATGAATATTTTTTTAAAAAAGTGAACTCTGGGGGAGGGCGGGGGGGTAAAATGTGTAACAGTGAATGAATTAAAAAAAAATCTCACTTTTCTGTAAATGTTCGTTAAAATCACAATTAAAATAAATTTTTATTTTTATAAAACCAAAAGGTCAAACATAAAGAATAAAGAAACTTGAGGTTACTACTGGGGGGAAAAAAAGATGAGGGGATGAAAAAGTGAGGCTTAAATAAGATCTCCTACATCACGGGCCTTTTTGTGTCATTATTATTGACCTGAGATCTTTATTCCTTTAAAAGTACAGAAAACCATGCTGTAAGCATTCATTTGTCAATATGAAGTAACTATTAAAGCTTTAGGCCTGAGGGGCCACAGTTAGTCCTCTCTTGCCTCATAGCCTTTGAACCACCCGTTGCTTTAGTATTAACATGCCAAAGCTTTCATTGGAGTTTGTTGTGCAACTCCTGGGCAACCATGATTCTAGTGTCTCTTCTGGAGAATATTGGGACTCAGAAGCTAGGAACACTGTCAGAGGTATAGATCATGCACAGCCTGGGGAGGAATGAGTCCAGCAGATGTATTCTGGAAACACGTGAACAGAGGGGCAGGCCAAGGGCCCCTTCCTTCATGTGGCCCTGCAAGATCAGGCTAGCTCATCCAGCCCAAAGTGGCTGCCAGATATGCTGGCCACCTTAAAGCAGGTTTAATCAGGTAAAACTTAGTGGGAAGCATTTTTAAATGGGATTGCCTAGCTCCAGCCGTTGGTGATTTCTCATGTTGGGACTGTGTGTGTGCTGGCTCTTTGAGGTCGTTAGCAGTTTATCTAACTTGCTGTTTTTCTTTATGGCTTGGCTTCTCATTTCACCTCAACCTGGTGTGGGGCCAAACTCAACCAACTGACCATTGGCCGTTCTGACTGCTGCCTGGTCTTCCAACAGTCGTGAAGCAGCGCATGCAGATGTACAACTCACCGCACCGGTCAGCCCTCAGCTGCATCCGGACAGTGTGGCAGACTGAGGGGCTGGGGGCCTTCTACCGGAGTTACACCACCCAGCTGACCATGAACATCCCCTTCCAGGCCATCCATTTCATCACCTACGAATTCCTGCAGGAGCAAGTCAATCCTCGCCGCGAATACAATCCCCCGTCCCACATCATCGCAGGCGGGTTGGCTGGGGCCATTGCTGCGGCCGCCACCACGCCCCTGGACGTCTGTAAGACCCTTCTCAACACACAGGAACACGTGGCGCTCTCTCTGGCCAACATCAGCGGTCGCCTGTCAGGCATGGTCAACGCCTTCCGGACAGTGTACCAGATCAATGGCCTGTCCGGCTACTTCAAAGGCATACAGGCACGTGTCATCTACCAGATGCCGTCCACGGCCATTTCATGGTCTGTGTATGAGTTCTTTAAGTACTTCCTCACCAAGCACCAACTGGAGAATCGAACTCCATACTAAAGAAGCGGACAGTTGGAAGTGATTGCGGAATCTTTTATTTTTTTAAAAGGCTCTCTGCCTGCTTCCATTCTCTCTTCCTCCTGCCAAGCAAGGAACTTGCGTGGGCCCTTCTGCTTCCTGATGTCTTAGGAAGGGGAGGACGGGATGGGGCCTACCAGAGGCTGTGGGCAGGGAAGTCAGCAGTGGGGATTGCTCGGAAGAAACCTTTCCAGGCGTGAGAGAATGCTGTTTCTTTGCCTCTCTCCAGAGGAATGTAGCTTTTCAGATTCATTGTCACATTCTTCCGAGAATCTAAGCTCGTGGAGGGAAGAAAATGAACAGTGATTGAAAACATTCAAGGCAAATTTTATGTATATAAAAGTTCCCATACACAGAATAATATAGATGGATAATGTTTATCCTTTATTTTTCTATGTAGGAAGGTTTTTTAAATTTGTGTGTGTGCCTGTGTGCATGTACAAATAGCACTCCAGCTGCAAATACACAGCTACTAAAATATATATATAAAGGGAGGGAGTTAATTCTTCTATCAGGTTAATTCAGAAGGCACCAGAGTACCTGAGTTAAATTACTGAATGTGGCCTAATGGAAAAAAAACCCAGAAACCAAACATTAAATAAAATGCTAAATGTGATTAGCCCCCTGGTGGAAGTTTCACTTGAGTGTAAAATGATAAGTATTAAGTTTATCTTTTTTTATTTCTATTTTCATGAATGTCTGAGAGGTACGTTGGGGAAAAATAAAAATAATATAATACTTGCAGCTAGTACTCTTCCCATCCCCTCATTCTGATTGTATTCAAATAAAGAGCCTTAGTGGAGCAGTGGTTAAGTGCTTGGCTACTTCTCAAAACGTCAGTGGTTCGAATGCACCTGCTTGCTGCTCCCTAAGACTACGTTCTGCTTCCATAAGAGAACAGCTTGGAAACGCTTTGGGACAGTTCCACTCCATAGGAATCAGAATCAACTCAATAGAAATGGACTTGGCTTGATTTCATTCACTCACTCACTTTCATGTGCCTTTCCCCCTTTGTCTTCCCTTAAAAAATATATATCCAAGAGCAGAAATGTAGTCCTGAAGCTTCCAAACAGCACATATTCTGAGTAGCAGGCTCTAAGGCTGCAGGACAATGGCATGGTTACTGGTTTTGAGCTCGCAGAGATCACCTCCTTACGTTAGTTGTCAAGGACGTGACTCCGCGTCTCCCTGAATCAGCTCTTACTAAGAGCTTAAAATGCTACCATCCTTTGGCTACTTTTGTAGTTAATTGGGATAAGTCCTGTCTTTATTATTAGGATTTATTTGTCACCTTTTTAAACAGCAGTACTTTGGGTCTCCCTGTCTCTCTGTACTTTGACTGTATCTCCCTAGAGGGCTCTTGCTTGTCAGGAAGTGTGAGGACGGCACAGAAGAGAGCAGGATTCAGATCTTTTGTTCATAGGGTTACTCTGAGTTGTATTTGACTCAACAGCACCTAACAACAACTACCCTGTGTGGCTGAGAGGTTTTTAAAACACAGTAAATGAATCTGACGTGTGTATACCCTTGGCCTGGTCAGTACTCTGTATAGTAGTGGGTGCCAGCAGGCCCACTGACCCGTGCCCAGTTACTGAAAACTGACCAAACTCATGGAAACAGGTGCCGTTCAGAGCCATTCCTCGGTCTTATTAGATCCATGTCACTTAAGAGCATAAGGCGTACCTGCCTTGTTTTTTAAAATGGGGTGTCTCAAGTCAGATGATCCCTAAGAGAGGAGACAAGGCCTTTTCCTCCAGCTTTGCCATTTTGATTTGCTGCCAGGCTGCTATCTACAGGAAGACTAAAATATTTCAGTTTCCTTTTTCCTCACCAGAGCCTGTCTTTAAACATGAGTGAGAAGCACGTGTGTGGTTTGAACTTTGGTGGGCCTGAGGTGTGTGTAGGGGTAGTTCCTTTTGGCCAGGCCCTTTTAGCACAGGCCTCACCAGAGCTACACATTCACTGGTGCTCCAGTCACAGTCTTTGGGACATGGTGAGTCCAAGGGACGAGCTCAGCCTGCCCTTAGAGAATTTTTTCCATCATGAACAATGTACACAGTGTTGTCTCTTAAAGTAGCTTTTGCTTTTGTTTTTCTAATAGTTAGGAATGAGTTGATAAAAAGATAGCCGACTTATTTTTTTGAAAGCTAGAACAGGGTAGTGCCACCATGTGGAGAACCTGCTGTGTGAACTGTTAACTGGGCTTGGCTACTGACATGCCCTGCCCTGCCCTGGGGTCCTGCCCCAGTGGGAACAGCTACAGCAAGCTCTGTCTTACTCTGATGCAAAAAGGTGTTGGAAACTGTGCTGCTGCTAAAAAGTGCTGTACACCTGCCCTCCAGACATGTCCTGGATTAGTACTAAATTCTAGGAATGGAGGGGGGAAATAGATGAAATACTTAAAAAGTCATCCCACATCTCTTTCGCTCTGGTGGCCTTGTCCATAGGGAGATAAGTCAAAGGCAGAGCCTCTCTCGCTCCACAGGAGGAACGATGGGCAGTCTCCTGCGGTGGATTTACATCCGCCCCTAACCCACAGGAGGGTCATTAGTCAATTCTGAATTAACAGTGAGGTTTTTGTTTGAAATCAGATAATGCCACCCTGCTGTAAAATCACAAGATTTTACTTTAGATGTTACCAGGAAAAGGAAACGTTCTCTTCTCTGGGAAAGCTCCTTTTAGCCGGGGAATACAAGGAGAGGCAGCAGCTGGGATCCCAGAGTTCTGAGGGCTGGAGTCCGTGGATCTGGTCTCACAGCCCTGTCACTGTGTGGTAAGGGACCTTGATGGAACGCTGCTGACCCCATCCGTATTCTATCAGAAGATAAACTTGCGAAGCACTAAACAAATATTTTATGGGAGTGATTTCCCCCTCCTAGCCTTAGCTCCATAGTTTGCATTCTTGTCCCATATTGACTGCAAACCAGTTGTTGACTTTGACACTGTGAGATATTAAATAGGACAATGCTTTCCTTCTCCCCTGACAGCTTCCATCTTAGCACAGTCATGGTGTGGGCTTGGTGGTGACTGCCTTTTGAGTGACATCTGCAACCAAGCAACACCACGGAGGACAGTTGTTGCATTGTTGCTGTCGTGTCAGCTGAGTCATGGCGGCGCCGTGGCTAACTGTGATACGTTGCCAGGCCCTGTGCCATCTGTATGAGTACAATACGCCTTTTAATGGAGTGTGCGTGTGAGTGTGTGTTTACCCTTTCTTCTTTGGACCATTTTTTGAGGTCAGTCACACAACGGAGTTTTGCTTTGATTTTAGAACTTAAAAATTAATTCCTCCCCCAAAATGAGATAAATCCTTAGATCATGGCTTTATAATTTGCTTTGGGTTGAATTTAGTTATTTACTGGACTGCATCCTGCATGTGGTTTTTCATTTTTTTCTTTCTTTTTTTAAATGCTGGTGTCTTATTCCAAGTGCTGTTCTGCAAAGTTCCCTGAAGGCTGCATCTTCACCACTTTGTCATGCCAATAAGGTTTCATTGAACTTTATTTAAGGATGGATGGTTGTGCCTGTGAATTTACAAATGTACTGCTTCTTTCTATCTGCAAGATGCACAATGGATGTGATGGGGTGAGAAAGTGTTCTTTCCCAAATGCCTATAGGAAATGTCATTGTTTCTGCCTCAGAATTGTTGTGAGCTCTTTGAAGAAGGGGACAAAATGTGTATTTATGTGTGGGGTGTTTATTTCTGATGTGCTGCTACAGTTTTAACACTGGAGCTAGAAAAAAATAAAACATTGATGTTTGAAGTGTTGTGGAGTCTCTGGTGGGAATGTTGAAAGTAGAGCCAGGTGGGCTGGAAAGAAGGAGCTTCATTTAAGGGAATTGTCTTTCTCCCTATTGTCGCTAGCTATCATTCGCCGGCAGCAAACAAGGACACCTTGATGGGGGTAAGCACAACGGAGACACGCCCTTCTGGGAGCTGTTCAGAATCAGTGCAGCTCAACTTTACTGGGGGCTGCAGCACGCTTATATATGAGCAAGGAAACAGGAAGACAGGATAGGGTGGGCTTACAGACGTGGGACATGAGGGTTGGATAGGAGAACCTCAGCCTTGTGTGGACCACTCCCAGCTCAACAGATGCAGCAGCCGTTTTCCCAGGTGGCGAGCCGCCTTAAGCCATTACAGTCAAACAGGAGAGCTTTCTCTACCCTATATTAAACGCCTTTGGGAGGCTTGCACTTAGCCAGAGCTAGGCCATCTGTCCTGGCCAGGGGCCCTCCTTTCCTCCCCAACACCTCATCTCTCACATCAGGAGCTATTAAGATTTGGCACCCCAGTCTCCTGTGATTTACTGCCTCTGCAAACCTCCCGGACTGCTATGAGTCGTTCTCGACTCGATGACAGTGAGTGAGGGAATGACTCTACTAATCTGTTTGCAAGACAGGAACTGGCTTCCTTCTTGGCCGCTCTGAGACATAAAGCTTCATAGCTGCACAGTGTTGGGACCTCCGGCTGGCTTCTGCACTGTGCAGGGGAAAGGAGCAGCCCTGTACATGCCTTTGTTGCCTGGGGCTTCCCTAACACAATACTACAAAGTACGTCACTTTAAAGGAGAAATTTATCTTCTATTTCTGGAAACTAGCAACTCAAAATCAGAATCCAGCTATTTCTAATGGCAGCTGGTATCACTTAGGACCCTTATCAAGCACATCCAAGAAAAGAAAAGCCAGTTGCTGTTCATGGTGAGTCCTAGTAGAACACCATAGGTTTTCAATGATTGGTTTCTTTAATGGCTGAAGGAAATCTCCAATCCTTCCTTTCAAGACACCCTTTGATAGACTAGAACCTCCAACCTCTCTGTTAGCAGTTTAGCCTGCTGATTTATAACCTAGGAATTCCCTCAAGCATGTCCATATCCCTCAAATTCCAGCACTACAGAGGCCTTGAAAGATGTTCCATCCCAGCCAAGGTTTCCTTCCAGGATAAGTTTTTCCCTCTTAGTTCCCATCCACGTGAGTAGTTT